AGGGAAGAAGACCAATTAGGTAGCTATTATAATAGTCCATACATGTCAAAAGTGATGAGGGGTAGACCTAGGGTGGTGTCTGCATGAGTGGAGGTAGGGAGAGGAGACAGATGCAAGAGATGTTATGGAGGTGGAATCAACACGCTCAATAATACTTGACGACTGATTGCATTTTGTGGGGTAAGGGAAAGTGAAGATTCAAGGAAGGCTCCAAAGCTTCAAACATGTGTAACTATAAGAATAATAGTATCTTTAAAAGAAACAGAGAAATTAGGAGGCAAGACCGTTTTACAGAAAATATAAGAAATTCTGTTTTGTATGTGCTGAGATGTCTATTGGACAATAGATCAGGAACTGGTGATGTGAAACTAGAATTTAGAGGAGAGAGGAGGGCTGGACATGTAAATATATGAGTCATCCTATGCATAAGGAGTGTAAGTAGGCTGGAGCATATCATGAATAATAACTTGTATTTGAGAAGGGTCATAGAAACATTATTAATATTATCTACGTCTGAAAAAGAATGTAGTACAAATCATAGATGGCACCAAGATACAGGAGAAACAGAAAGGTGGCTGAGCTCTGCACCATTATCTGCAAGATACTAAAGAAAGAATTGGATTGTTTCTGAGGTATTGGATGGATCCTTTGAGGCAGATTTACAGGAAAATGTAGATAAGAATTTCAAAAGATGAGGTCTGAAAGTGATGCCTTCTCCATCAGTGAAGGGAGTATCCCTACTAGTGATATGTCAGAATTAACTGAAAGGAAACCAGTAACGCAAAGAGAGGTCTAGGACTCAGGAAGGTGCTTTAACTTCTCTGAACCTCAGTTTTCTAATTTATAAAGTAAAGGGTTAGACTAAATGACCCCCATGATTACCAAACACACGATCACCCAACACACCTGCACAATTATTCAAGTAGCACCCAGACAGTTTGACACAGATTATAGGCTGATGAAAGAGGATTCCCTGGAAACAAGGAGGGGGAACTGAATTGCTGTTCTCTGTCCTATTTAGAATGCAGTGAAGTTCACTGGATAAAGGCTTCCAGGTCATGGTGTAGAATGAATTTAGGTAGAAAACAAAATCTATCATTCCATGAGAATGATGAAAATGGGCAATCAAGTGGATATTTGTCTGAAAGACACAAACAAAAACATAGAAGAGTTTGTAGGAAGGTAGAGAGGTGAAAAATGTGAGGCATGAAAATATTGATGAAATCAAAATGAAATATGCAAGAAATCAAAATTGGAATCATTATGTGCACTCAGTTCTTAGTCCAACAGAAGAGATTCCTGTCTATGGTGGATAAAGACCTATTTTCACCTTGTAGTAATAGTGTGCTACATAGAATTATAATTATTTTTGAAAAAAATGACATAATATGGTAGAATGGCAGTACAGCCCTAAACATGGCAATATGCAGATATCGCTATGGGTAACTAAACAGAAATACTAATTTGATGGAAACTCTACCATTGAATCATGAAGAATAGTGAGGCATCACGAAAGTAGTTGGATGAGTGCTGCATTTAGGGTCAGAAGACCCAGGTTCAAATTCTAGTTTTTTAACAAAAATTTACGTAGTATCTGCTACATGAAAGGCACCTAATTAGTACTGGGACTGTTATTTCATTGGTACAGGGAACTTTCAATGAGGACACACCCTCTACCAACTCTGGTCAGTATGTTTGCTGCAACTTACAGATTTAATCAGTTGCATAGTGAATCATACAACTTATAGATTAAATGATCTGCCCAAAGTCTGACAGATAGTATGTGCCTGAGATATAGTACATTCTATGTACTATAATACATTGCCTCTTACATATAACATGCTTTATTTTAGGCTACTAGCATCAGCTGTAAAATGAGAGCACTGGTTAAGCAAAATCTAAGTTCCTGTTCAAGTTTGCACTCATAATCCTCTGTGGGCTACTTTTTATGTTAGCAGGTGCCACTAGGAAACAGAATACCTCCTATGAATTTTTAAAGAAGCTTTTTAAAAAATTCAGACTCCTTAATGAAGTGCTTATAAATTTAGCCCTTCCTTGTATATCTTCTATCCCTTTTTCTATTCTTTTCCTTCCTTTCATAGCCAAACATCTTGAAATTGTTAGTAGCTGCCTTCATTCCTGTCCCCTCATTCATTGACCCCTTGTAGTAAAATTCGCATATCAACGTGACTGAAACTGTTGTTTTGGAGGCTGCCAATATCCTATTGGACATCAGATCCTCTTTTCAATCTTTATCTTCATAGGATCTTAGAATTTAGAACTAAAATGATCCTTATAAGTTTTCTAGTCTAAGCACTTCATTTAATAGATGAGAAAACTGAGTGCCAGAAAAGTGAAGGGTTTTGCATAATGACATATACCTAGCAATAAATAGCCTTAGCCTAACCTACCCTAATCACAGCATTAGACACTACTGTCACCTCATTTCTTTATAAAACTCTCTTAAGGCAATGCACTATGTTCCTTGTACATAAGGTTCTACACTGGAGAAGGAAATGGCAAACCACTCCAATACCTTTACCAAGAAAATCTCATGGACAGTATTGGTGTGCTATGGTCCATGGGGTCACGACAAGTTGGACACAACTGAACAATAATATGCTTCTAAATAAATTCATCTTCCACCTTCTTCTATCTCTATACTATCCTCTTTTGAGATATCATGTACTCTCCTGGCTTCAAATATGAATTTTTTTGTAGCTGAACAAGCTATCTTTATATTCAGCCCCAACCTTTCTCTTGAGTTTTAATACTATCTCAAACCACATACTGGATATTTTCACCTGGATTTCCTGCCAACACCTCAAATTCAACATATCTAAAACAGAATTTGTTATCTTTCCCTCAAAACTGATTCCTCCTCCTGCTTATATTATTTCTCTTAAAGATACTGTCATTTCCTTGAATCACTGAAGTTCAAAGCTTCAGCCATACATGTTTATCAAAGTTAGCTAATGATTTTATACAGTATTTAGGTATTACCAGGAATCTTAATGAAGTAAAGATTATTTGAAATCATCCAGAAGTAGCAGGAATTAGATAAAAGATGGTGTCCTGAAGATTGAACATGGGGGCTTATGTTTGACATTAGCCTATTTGCACATCAGCCTAGGAGACTTTTGTTGAAGATATGGCAAAACTATATGATTCTACCTAATCTGCCATATCCAATCAGTTGCTATAGATTTTTCCTCCATGATGTCTTTTTTTCTGTCCCTCCTTCTCCATTCCCACTAGTTTAAGCCCCTTATCATCTCATACTTAAATGATTACATTAGGCCTTCCATGACTTCAAAGTCTCCTCTCTTCTACTCATCTAGCACACTGATATCCTATTAATCTTCTTAAAGGACCGCTTTGGTAGTGTCCTTTCCCTGTTCAGAAAACTTTAATGGTTCCCTCTTGTCTACTAAATAAAGCTTAAATTACTTTATCCAGAATTTAAGACCTTCAACAATTTGGCTCTAATCTTTCCTAATTTATTTGCCAGTTATTCCCAGTGGTCCAGATAATCCACATTCTTCATATTTCATGAAAATGTGCTGAACTTTCCCACATCTGTGACTTTTTCCTTTTCCCTCAGCCTGGAATACAAAATCTCAGCCTCCTTCATTACTCTTGCCATCTCCATTTCTCAATATCTGATTTGTCCTTCAAGATCCAGATCAAATGCCAGCTCAAGAGACTCACTCTTCTTCCACACTTGAACAATATTTGTGCCACTCATTTGACACTTAATACATATTGTCTATATTACAATTGTATCTGTTCATGTGTTATCCCCCCTCTTAGTCTATAATATCTTTGGGGATATAGTAAAATACTGTGTATCTTTCTTCCATCACATCACCCAGTATAGAACTTATACAAAGTAGGTATTCAATAATACATGAACTACAATTATTGACTTAGGATGTATGAACTATACTAGCCAAATATTTTACTTCCCTAGTTATGAGACATTTAAAGAATGAACTTTTCTATGGAATGCTACTTTACTTATTTACTTCATAATTTTTTTTTAAAAATAGGAATTAGAAATAAAGAATACAACTACATACAATCAAAATTTGTTGCTAGCAAAAATGTCCTCCTAAACTAGGTATAAAATATACCATATAGGATCCCATTGAAGAGATGGATAACCAGGAAAAGAACAAGATGATCATGTAGTAAAAGGTAGGCATAATGGATGTAAATTTCAAGTACAGCATTAGTATCTCTGAAATACAAAATAATAAATAGACAAAAGCCTCCATCCCACTGGGTAGAATGGTTCTTACACTCTTTCAGAATACATAGTCAAGAATTATAGATGATGACAGGATGTGCATGCATTACAATCTGAACCTTTGGGATGCTGTAGAAAAGATTTCTGAATAGGTTGGAAAGGTTAAATTAATCTCTAAGGTCCCTTCTAATTCTGACTATGTGACTCTAGGAAGATATTTTAAATTAAAAAATCAACTTGCAAAGATAAATTTATCTGGTCACAAAATAATAGTTACATGAAGAAAATATTCTGATAGTAATTATGACTCAAATGTAATAAATGCAAGGGGAAGAAAAAAGATGTTTCCCTTGTGTAAAGAAAATTTCATTTTGTTAAGGAATGAAAAACCAATGTATGAATTATACAGACATACTGAATGGGAAGATAGTTCACCAAGACCCTTATTGACCTATTTCAAAAATCCAATACTCAATATTAGCTATTTCAGTATTCTAGATTAAATTACACACCTGATTAATTTTATCCAGTGTCCCTTGCATCTGTGATGCCAGGCTCTAAAACACATAGGATTTTCCAAACTGGGAAACCTCAGTCTAATGAAGACAAACCTCAAATTTCAAAGTACTATTAGTTAACATTCACTTCATACCCAGCTGCCATCTTTGAGTTTTATTTTTATTGGTGTTCAGAGACACAAAATGACTGGGCTTAGTTAATGCCTGCCAGTTGTTCAAAGTTTACTTACCCTTTGACCTTCTTTCCCAGGTGGACCTTGGGGACCTTCTAGTCCTAAGGAACCCTGCAAAGGAAAAAAGAAATAATTGTTAGTGGTATTTTTGGAGTTTGCCTGCCTCCTAAAGATATTGTGGAAATGAATACTTATTTGACAATTTAAGGTTTTTAAAGGGATGAGCTCCTCAGAGGTTAGACTGTGTAATACATTAATAATGATGAATTGCCTTGCCTGGAACATCTTACACTTGTAACAAAGTCTAGAGCAAAATAACTAAGTCCCAGAGCCAGATGTCAGGACCAAATGTTCACTCCCAATGAAGACTTGCTTCTAATCAGGGCTACATTACACAGAAATGACATAAATGGCAATGGACACTAGCAACAACATGCATAATCCATCCTATTTTTGCCATTAAGAAACAGGTGATAAATAGAATTTGGGCTGAAATTTTTTCTAAGAGAAAATGGTCATCATTTTGGCTTAATAAATGCATATATTTGTGATATTTTAGCATTTTGTTTCATATTCAAGAGTACTTATGATAATTTATTTATTGTTTTGGGGGGAGATAGGGACTAAACCTGTAATTTCACTGGTACAGGGGACTACTAGTGAGGAACTTCATTCTACTAGTGCAGGTTGATAATGATGTCTTTGCCACTTACAGTCTTAGAGATTTGCTTAGACCTTCGAGGTGGCAGCCCAACAGCCTCAGTTAACCAGAACCAGACTAAAATGCAATTGGGAAATGTTTAACAAAATAAATAAAAATACAATTGTTATTTGTCCTTCGTTTCCAAAGAGGACCAATGACATCACGTGGTGATGTGTTGACTCATGAATGAATTGGATTTAAGAGAAGCAGACTTGCACAAAGTCATCATCCTCATTTCTCTCTTCCATAGACATTGAAGTCCATTGGCAAGACAAAAGTTAAGACAAATTGCAATGGTCTGGGATGCAGTGGATCACCTCAGTGTCTTCAACGTTGGACTAAGCTCTAAGCTCTCCATAGCACCTGCTTCAGCCACTTTCAAGGCCATTGGAACCAATTGTTTTAATCTACCAATTCCATGGGGAGAAATCTTTACATACTTGGGGGAGATACCCCACCCTAACTCACCAATGGGTTTGAGGCCCATTGGTGCCAATGATTTACCAAGGTGTGGCTTCTGTTCATGCCACAGCTTCTTGGAGCCACAAATGAAAGTTGGGTACCAGACAGACACCAAGCGTGAATAAGCAGCCCTGAAGAGAAGTGATAACCCTCACACCAGAGGTACTATTCCTCTTCAAACACCCCCATATACTACACAGATAATGTTAATTTGTTAATTTTTTCAAGTCAATATGTGGCTTGTAGGGATCATTTCTATTTGAATTTCCAATTTAGAACAAGGAATTAAGTGACTTATAGTCACGCAGCCAGTATGTAACAGAGGTAGGGCCCTTCTAATATTTAATTACAATAAATACAATACAATCAGCTAAACTTGCTTATTTACATTAATGAATTGCAATGCCTAAAGTAAATAATAACGGTTTTTTTAGTCACTCTTTCTAAGTCCTCATCAGGCTATTTTGCTTGTCCATTCTTTCTTCACTTTTCCCCTTACGTGGTAATGATTCTAGTGTATCCTATACTTCAGTTGGTTATATTTGGAATTATTTCATAAAATCATTTCCAGATTTTATATATGTACACACACACACACACACACACACACACATACCTTGTAGTTGTTAATCTAAATTGCATTGTTGCTTTATGTCCCACAATTTATTCAACCATTTCTTTCTTGTTGAACATTTAGGCTAATACATATAATGCTGTTATGAAAATCTTCAAAGATACAGCTCTTTTTCTTATTGTTCATTTCAGGTAACACTTTTAAGGCACATTTCCCACAATGGAATTATTCGGACAAAGATTATGATTATTTTTGTAACTTTTACTGCTGTTGCAAGATTAGTACCCTACTGCTGGGAAATGTGAAGCTTAGCAATGACATCACCTAACAAATCCCCACAATTCTGTAGTAAGGCAGAGTAATCCTTTTTTTTTTCTGATAAGAAACTGAGACAGAAATTATAACCTAAGTCATTAGTAACTCCCAGAACAGAAGCCATGTTTTTTGCTCTTAAAGACAGAACCTCAGATGCTAGTCTCTAGCCAGTAGTAAATATGCAAGTGAAGCAGCCACTCATAACTCAACTTATACCACATTTCAGGTTCAGGATCAGGACATTGGTATTGTTATCTCTCAAGGATTTATGCAAGATGACATCATGTGTATGATGGGTATACTATTTCTTGCCTTTTCAATGAGTAGGGGAGAGGATGGAGGGAGCAAGCAAATTTGAAACTGAAAATAAAAACCAAATATAAAATACCAAAAAAAGAAAAAAAATTATGTAAGGAGAGTGATTACATTTGAGGATTCAGTTATATCAAGGAAAACTTTAGATTCATCTTAATATCCAATTTCATATATATCTAAACAGGGCTCAGTTCAACTTTATTTCTCGTGTTCTCTAATTTGAAATAAATTAATGAGATTTAAGAAATTTAATGGGATTCGTTTCTTGCAATACAGTATCATGATTTTGAGAGTATATGACTATTCTGAATGAGTTTTTTTTCTTTTTGAAGATTAGAATTTAACTGAACTTAGCAAACTTTTATTAATTGCCTGCCAGTTACTATACTAAGCATTAGAAATATACAAATTTTAAAAAAGAGTGAAAGAGAAACCCCATCCTCAAGAAGGTTACAACTAAAATTCAAATGTTATATGATGTCAACTAGGTGTCAGAATGGATAAAGTTGTTGGCTTTGTGGTCATGAATTTCAGAGTTTGAATCCTTCCTCAGAACGTGAACTAGCTACTTAACCTTTGTGTACTTTAGTCTGAAGATGAGTTTAAAACAATGTCATTAGAATTGTTTGCAGAGGGACCAGTAATATGATGATACATGTATTCCTTGTTTTTCTTTTTAAAAACTAAATTTTATACATTTTATAAATGGTTAGAACAGTAATCTAAGGCATGTAAAATAGAATTTATAATTTGAATGATTTCACAGAATGGGTTCAATTGTTATGTCAAGGGAAACGATTCTCAAATCTATAATAACCAGCCTTCATCTTTCCTGCTGAGCTCTTGTTCCATTTTACCTGGCTAAACATCTCCACCTGGATGCCTCACTGGTTTCTTAAACACAAAATGGAATATTTTCTTCCCAAACCATTACAACTCAAAATTTCTCCAATACAGGGCACAATTATCCTTCCAGTAATCAAGGTCTGCAATCTGTTACTATTCTCTGTCCTTCAATCCTTATATCCAGTCAGTTGTCAAATATTTTTGAAATTACTTCCACAATAGTTCATGCATCTGTCTCCTCTCTTTTCACTCTGTCTTCATCCTAGTTTAGACCTTTATCTTGCTTTGACAATTTCAACTGCCACCTATGGTTCTCCCTACCTCTAGTATTTTTCTTTTCTTTTTCTCCATTTTTAGAAATTCATTTTTTTCCTCCAATCTTTTCTCTTTTTAATTCATCCTTTATACAACTGTTGACTGCTATTCCAAAAACACAAATCTCACCCTTCTCAAAAATTTCCAGTGGATCCCTATTGTCCCAGGATAAAATAAAAAATCATTAGCCTGGCATTCTATCTTCACACTCTGATTCCAACCTACCTTTCCAAACATTTCATATTACTACCCTTTATATAGTAGCCATTCTAGTTATACTGGCTTATTACTGGCTCCTGGTCCATGATAATTCATCTCCAAAGTACGTGCTCTGTTCATGTAGTTCCCTATATCTGCTGTATAACTCCTAATGACTTCCTCCTCATACAAATCCTTTAAAGCACAACTCCGATATAAGAACCTTTCTGATGCCCCCAATTATTCTCTCTCTCTCTCTCTCTCTCTCTCTCTCTCTCTCTCTCTCTCTCTCTCTCTCTCTCTCTCTCTCTCTTTCTCTCTCTCTCTCTCTCTCTGTCTCTCTCTCTCTCTCTCTCTCTCTCTCTCTCTCTCTCTCTCTCTCTCTCTCTCTCTCTCTCTCTTTCCCACTCTCTCTCTCAGGCAGGGACTATTTTAATTATCTCTTCATATCACCAATGCCTTTCATAGTACCTAGCTTGTAGTACGTGCTTAACAAATATTTTTAATTTAAATTCATAGAGATATTTGGAGGCTTTAGTTCTATTTAGTTTTAGTGTATTTACTAAAATAAATACAAGAATTGTGAAAATAAAATTTAAAAAAACCATGAGATGAGTTTGGTTTATACCAACAACAACAAAAACCCTGATACACCAGAACCAGATTGTCATATACAAAATTATTGAAGAAAGCTAACTTATTAGACCTATTTTCAGTTTGTGAGGGGTGACAAGTTCCTAATATGTAATCGTGGGAAAGCAATCATCAGAATTGATTTTTATCAAGTATGAAAATACAGAATGATAACAAGGTGATGTATTATTTTCCTCAAAACTAACATAATCTTGACCTTCAGTTAGAGTCTTTTTTCATATTCTGAAGAAAACTATTATCACTTCACGAAGAGTCAAACTGATGAGGAACATCCCGGATAATACTCCAAATACTGACACTTCTCTCAGTGTTGCTAAACATGATTCATTTAAAATACGCAGGCACAGAATGCTTACCATAGGAGCGAAATTAATGATAAGCTATATTCAGTCAACCCTCTGTGCTAAAAGGAACTATTTAAATATTAAATCTGCTATGTAAAAAAGTTCATTCAACCCTCCCCCCCCCAATCCCTTTACTTCTTAAAACACCCATAAATGTCCTACCACCTTTCTACCTCCCTAGCCCAGGATCCATCTGGGAGCTGTAGGACAAATTTACAGGAAATATAGATGTCTTGATTATCCTGTGAGGATCTGTATGAATTGTCCAAGGAAAAAATTTAATCCCAGGACTGCTCCTTTTGACCTCCTACATACTTTAGAACTTAATCTCTCAGCTGTCACTTGGTGTGTTTAGAGAAATGTTAAATCATTTCAATATCTGCTT